CGTGAATCATTCACATTAATAACTTAATTCCAAGGCCGTCCCCATACCCTGTCCGGTATGGGCGCCAAAATCATAAACTTCAATACCCCGTCCGGTATGGGCGCCAAAATCATAAACCTCAATATCCCGTCCGGTATGAGGGTGAAACGGGCCGTCCCCATACCCCGTCTGGTATGGGCGCCAAAACATATAAGGTCTCCATACCCCGTCCGATATGAGAGACCACGTTCCCGGTAGGGTTTCCTACGGACCAGATCCGTCCACCATCTCCTAGGATATCTAGTTAGGCTGTCGACATCATCCATTTATTAATTCACATACCTTTTTCTATTTTTCTTGGTCTCAATTATCCAATCAAACATAAACACGTAAACTAGTAATGAACACTAAACAAGACAACAACAGGTTCACAATAATTCAAATCATAATAAACGAAACCGTGATTCATGCATATGAAACCATAGAATAAACACATCAAATATCATATTGCATTTAAAACTATAAAATAGATCAAACAACAACTGACCGAAAAATATATCAGATTTGGGCTCCATTAATAACCTTAATTAATTATACACATGTATTAATTCATGAAATGCTGTTTTATTATTTATTGAGCTTTAACACCGTGATAGAAAATAAGGTGAGAAATTCTTACTTGTTTCAGAGTCTGAAATCGGGTTCTCACTGCGCCTATGGGCTGTCCCTAGATTCCTTAAATTTTTTTTTCGAGAACCGAAATACACTTCCAATTCCTACACATGTCCCGAAAAAACTCAAAAATAGTCCCAAGGCCTACTTGGCCATTTTCAGAACTCTGGCACGGCGGTTTCACTGTGCTCTGGCGACGCCGCTGCCACCCGCGGCGGTGATCCGCCTCGGGTTGGCCATTTTTGGCTGTTTTCGGCCGAATTCAGCCAAACTTGCATTGGTTCCTGCGATAAAACAACCCTAGGGCCCTCGATGGGCCAAAAAATCACGAAAAACTGAGACTTACCGGCGGCAGAGCTCTCAAGTGCGGCGGCTTCTCCGGCGCGAGTCGCGATTCGATGTTTTGCTCTTGTCAACCTGTAGAGAAAAGGATGGTGATAATAGTGGTGTAAAAATTGCATCGAACGGGAACCGGGAAGGGCCTCATCGGAGGCAAAAATTGAGGGAAGTCGTGGCGATGCTGCTTGGCGGCGGCATCGCTGGGCTTCAGCGGTGTTTTTCGGCCAATTGGCCAATAGTTTGGCTCCGATTTGGCCACAAGTGAATTCAGCATCGAAAAACGAGCCAAACAGAGAAATTTTATCTCATTTGGCGGTCGAAAAATCCTCCGGTGCGGCGGCGGGTGGCAGCGGCCGGTTCCTCTGGTGGCTGGGTCGTCTTCTCTAGCGAGGGTTCTGGCGGCTAGGGTTTGGGGTTGGGTGTGGGTGAGGTTATTTATAACCTTCCCCTTTTAATCTCAGCCGTCCATCACGATTTAATCTAGACTGTCCGATCGCGATTAAATTAGGAATAAATCTGGACCGTCCATCGCGATACGATCTGGGCCGTCCGTGCCTGATTCAATCTGGGTCGTCCGTGTGCACTTTTGATCTGGACCGTCCATGCGCGCGAGAACGGATCTGGGCCGTCCGATCGCGTGCACGCGGATCGCCCACGTGGTCCTGTCCCGCGTGGCTTCCTACGTCAGCATTCCTGCCACGCCGCGTGTCCTGGTTGGCTGGGGGCTGCTAACGTGGCGCAATTTTTCTAAATTAAATTCAAAAAATAATTTTAACCATTTTTATCATTATTATTATTTTTATTTCAATTAAATTAAATTAAATTACACCCTTATGAATAAATTATTAAAATAAGATAAAATTACATAAAATTTCAAAAAAAATAATAAATAAAAGTTTTGGTGTTACAGCTTCTCCTTATAGATATTACTCTTCAAATTACCCATTTCTTTTCTTATGTAATTTTCATTATATTTTTGAATTTGCTCTAGACTAGATTTTTCTTTTTTTAAAAAAATAATAAAAAAAAATAAAGCTTAAAGCATGGCATTTTTACTTTGATTAATTTAGAAATTTTATTTTTAGAATGCTATATATTAAAAAAAAAAAAAAAACATGACTTCTTATAATTTGGATTATCCAACATTGTGTTTGGTTTTACAACATTATTGACCGGTTAATGTTACACCCCACATGCCAACACACACTGTCTTGTCATATGAACATAACACGAAAGGTCTTCAAATTTTAAAGGGTTGAAAATACTTATCCCATTATTCGTTGATTCACATTATAATTTGAAAATTAGCAATAAAGAAATTGAACAAGAAGAAAAAGTTTCTTGGTAGGTAAAAACTTCGCCGTTTTGACCCATAAAAATAATCCCTTCTTGTCATCTTTTCAGAAAGTGCTGCTGAAATCACACACAACTTCAGTTCGAGGGACGAATCCAGTCCAATACGCAAGACCTGTACATTTGTGAAATTCTTTTACCCCTCCATATATACATATAATATTAGCTTGACTACATTGAATTATTAGAACTGATTGATTGGACTGCGTTTGTCTGTATACACACACACAGACATATATATACATATTTGTTTGATCGTTAATCCTTTGAATAATACTGGATTCTTTTGACCAATATGTATCTAAACATGTCATTAACCACTTTCAGTCAGTTTCCCTGGTTGGAGGCTATAAAATAAAACAATAACTCATCTTATGTAAATCGGATTTTGTTATTTACAAATAAATATTTACATATAGGAAATCATGTCACAGGGCCATTGTCGGTCCGAGTGAAATATGGTTCTTCATTTTTTATATGGTAAAAAAAAATTATGTATTTGGTTATGCATATATTTTAATTTTAATTTGATCATAACATTTATAATGTGATTTGTGTGATGAAATATCAGTTTCTATATGTATACATTTTTGGGTCATTTTATATACATTTAATTAGTTCTTTAAAAAGTTATTTTTCACACATAGCAAGTTTGATTCTGTACGAAACTAAGAAAAGAAACTTAAAATATTATGTGTAAAATATAATAGCCTGTTGACACTACCCGAAATGGGTAGAAAATCTTTTCTCAATTACTTGTTCAATTTATTTTTTCCTAATTTTTTTAAAAAATATATTTATTTCATACCCGTTCTAATTATATTTATCGTGTACTTTAATAGTTACATATTTACTTATTTCGTTCGGAATGAACCTATTTCGACATGCGAGACATATACATTGTTAAATTTTTTTTTTCCACCTTTTCGACATATTATATATAAATATATATTTGATTGCATAGAATAATTAATATATATAATTAATCCTTTGAATGTAACATAACACCATTTTGGGCTCGCATGTTTCCTTGGTTGGAGGCCATAAGAAAACAAAATTATTTATTTAATTCATCCTATCAAATCTAATATTCTTTAAATTAAATTAATGAATGATTCTTTTAGTAAAATACCATTTATTTTCCACCCAATTTATTTCTTAAAAATCACAGTGATAATAAATTATAATAATTATTTATTTTGCACAATAATATTGTGATTTAATTAATTAAACATCATTACTCGGTACTAATATTTACAAGTAGTATAATTTTCTTAGATTTATTAAAATATTTTAAATTAAATATTAGGATAATTAGAAAAGGTCATATTATGCATATGGCATATCTAAGTACACTGCATCTGTAACGTATCTCTCAAAATCAATCAAAACATAAATCCAAAAGCTATATATAACTATTAAAGAATATGAAGAAAAAAGAAAAAAAAAAGCAACCAATCAAATTGATTTGCATTACATTAACAAGTGGAGGGACCCTACATTTCTTTTTTCCTTTTTTTTTTTTTCTTTACTTTTTGTTAATTACAATGTATATACTTATATATATATATACATTTTTGGGATTGATAGTGTGTGTGTGTGTGTATATATATATGTATATATTTGTCCACGTGAAAAATTTCAGCTGACCCAAAAATTAAAAAAAAAAAACAAAAAAAACGATCTGAATTGGTAGGGAGCATTAATTGATGGTTCCAAAAATGGGGTCAATGCATGCCTTGTGCACCAAGACTCATTACTTTTCAAATGGTCAACTTAAAATATACTTTTTCTCATTTGACTACCAATTAACCTTAAGGCCTTGTTTGGAAATGTCTCTTTTTCATTTTTTATTTTTTATTTTTAACTTACTTGCCTTTCAAGTACTCATTAATAATATAAGGCTTAATTATAAAAATATTTTCTTATTTTTATCATTATAAATTAATTCTTAACTTTTTTTAAAAACATTATCTTAACATATTAATCATATAATTAAAAATTAATGATACCCAACTTAATATGTGAAGATTGTATTTCATATTATCTGTTTTTCTTTTTTCCTCTCTACTAAATGACTTGATTTATTGAAGATTAAAGACATTATAATCAATTTTTTTTTCTTCTGAATTTAGAAATAGAATGATCGGTTATTATTTTAGTTAGAATTTTAATTTTTTGGTGATTATTTTAATGACGTGATTTTCTTTTTTTTTATAAATTAAATTCCAAAACTATATTTAAATTTAATTTAAAAAATAAATATTTGTAAGGCTTACATTTTAATAAAAAAGTATGATAATTATTCGAAAATAATAATGATTATTATCTTCTATTTTTTTTTATTGTCAAAATGCAAAAAGTAAAAAAAGTTATTGAAAAAGGTCAAAAGCAAACAGAACCTAAAAGCTAAGGATAAGTTGCAGTGGTATCCCGAAGGGGTTTCAGTATGATGAGGTGGCGGCTGATTTTGTCTGGCTTGTATTTCTCAGAAGCTTCGCCACTCGCCAAATTGACAGCAGACGCTTTTTATACCATCCCTCTTATCATCTCCACAGAGTTTATTCTTCCATTTCAGATCTCTCTCCACAATCTCCTCCAGGTATCTCGCATGTAATTCTCTGTTCACTCAACCTGTTACTCTTCTGTTTCATGGTACTCTGTTTTGATATGCAGAACATTTGTCTTCATCTTTAAGCTTCTGGGTATTCTTTAGTTTTCTTAATTGGTTCTCCTGGTAAAGTTTGACTCTTCTTCAGCATAGTTCTACTAGGTTTGCTGATAAGTTGATTTTTTAATCTGGGTATTAGAGATTCCTTGCTTCTTTACTGGATTTTGCCTAGTGTGTTCTTGAATTGATTGTGTCTAATTGGGGTTGTCTGGGTATTCTTTGATTCTTCAGTTGATTCAGAACTAGTTTGCTGTTGGGTTTTGATTTTTTTAGGGTATCTGGGTATTCAAGTTCTGCTTTGTTCTTTACCAAAAATCACCTAATTTTGCTCTTGAATTTTGATTGTTTGTTGGTTCTGGTATTCTTTTATTCTTGAACAGAGCTAAACTTTCCCCCTTTTTGGGCTATAGATATAAAGGAGTGGGTGGTAGATAAGAGTGTAGGATAATAAGTTTTATAAGTAATTTTATGGATACCGTTCTACACGTATACCCTAGCTCCTTAAATGGATTCAAGATGGACCCAAGCTCCATGTCTTCGTGTTCAAATCAGATTCTTGTTAATGGAGACAGACCTAGTCAGGGAATCGTAGATCTTGATTCTTCTTCCCCTGAATCCAATCCTCAAGCTTCTTCTATTGAGTCATTATCTCCATCTTCGAGCACAAGCTTGGATGGGGATCATCCAGATAACAGTCACTTTGCTCATGTTGTTCTCAAATACATAAACGAGATGCTAATGGAAGAAGACTTAGAAGGACAGCCATGTATGTTGCAGGATTGTTTAGCCGTACAGGCAGCAGAAAAGTCCTTCTATGAAGTCATTGGTCAAAAGTATCCTCCTTCTCCTGACCGTCTTTCGCCTCAATCACTCTATCAAAGTGACAATCACCCAGATGATAATATCCTTGGATCTAGCTCTAGTGATAGTTGTGATGGCTATATTGCTGCCAGCAACTCGATGGAGTCCCATTGGATGCACAGTGAAGGTAAATTGGAAGCCTCCCATTTACAGGCTTCTTTTACAGACTCTCCTCAGAATTTTACTTCATTACCAGACTTAGAAAATTGTGATTGTATGCCTTTTGCACCAAAAAGCAATCTATTAAGGCCTCCAGAGCTAGGGAAAAGGTATCAATCTCCCAGTGGATCAAGAGGAAGGAAAAGTTACCAGCGTGATGATGGTGGTTATCTTGAAGAAGGGAGGAGCAGCAAGCAATCAGCACTCTCTCTTACAGAATTGGAGCAATCGGAGATGTTTGATCAGGTATTGCTGTGTAAAGGAGAGAATGAACAGATTGTCTCTGGTTCTCTTCATGAAAAGTTGCAGTCAAATCAAAGATCAAAAGGGAAAACGCGCACAAAGAGACAAGGTAAGAAAAGAGAAGTGGTAGATTTGTCAACTCTCCTAATGCAATGTGCTCAATGTGTATCTAGCTTTGATCAAAGGACTGCAACCGAGCTACTTAAGCAAATAAGGCAGCACTCTAGTCAGTTTGGTGATGGAACGCAGAGAATGGCCTTTTATTTTGCTAATGCCCTCGAAGTACGCATGGCTGGTGCCAAGACACCAGTCTACTCACCTATTCTAAGTTGCAAAACATCTGCAGCTGAAATCCTTCAGGCTTACGAAGTGTATGTTACAGCATGCCCCTTCAAGAAAATGTCCAATTTCTTTGCAAACAAAACAATTGTGAAGCTGGCAGAAAAAGCAACAAGGCTTCATATTATTGATTTTGGCATTCTTTACGGTTTCCAGTGGCCCTGTCTTATCCAGCGTCTCTCATCGAGGCCTAATGGGCCCCCAAATCTTCGCATCACGGGCATTGAACTTCCACAACCAGGTTTCCGGCCTGCAGAGAGGGTTCAGGAGACAGGACATCGCTTGAAAAGGTATTGTGAAAGATTTAATGTTCCATTTGAATATAATTTCATAGCAAAGAAATGGGAAACTATCAAACTTGAGGATCTCAAGATCGATAGAGATGAGACAACTGTTGTTAATTGTTTGTACCGGATGAAGAACATTCCTGATGACACAATGGTGGTGAATTCCTCAAGAGACACTGTTATGAAGTTGATCAAGGAAATAAATCCTGATTTATTCGTGCATGGTGTTGTCAACGGAACATATAATGCTCCTTTCTTTGTCACAAGGTTCCGGGAAGCACTCTTTCATTTTTCTTCCCTGTTTGACATGTTTGAAGCTACTGTACCTCGTGAAGACCAACAGAGGATGATGTTTGAGAGAGAGGTATTTGGTAGGGATGCAATGAATGTCATTGCATGTGAGGGCACTGAGAGGGTCGAAAGGCCAGAGACCTACAAGCAATGGCAGGTTAGGAACTTGAGAATGGGGTTCAGGCAACTTCCATTGGATCATGAGATTTTGAAAAGAGTAAAAACAATGGTGAAATCTAGTTATCATGGTGATTTTGTGATTGATGTGGATGGTAACTGGATGC